TTAACTTCCCATCTGTGTAAAATAAAAGTTCACCGTGGACAAGTTTGCACAATAAAATCAAGAAGTAAGTTTAAGATTATGCAAGAGGCGCAAAATTGCGAAGCCGATTTTACGATTTTTTTAACTCTAAATCTAGAAGTCTCTATATGTCACACCTAGGACAAAATATATTATTTTCTAGATGTTGTTATGTTTTTACCTTTATATCAAATTATTATAATAAAAATGGTGCTTATTGAGATATAATACGAAGATTCAGTTTCTCAACTTTTATACTACGTATCATCATCATCATTCATTCATCATTACAGCCTTTCATAAGTCCACTGCTTACCATAGGCCTCCCCCAAGGAATGCCACAAAGCACGGTCCTGAGCCACCTGCATCCATCGACTTCCTGCATGTCTTACCAGGTCGTCACTCCATCTCGTGGGGGGTCGCTCTACACTTCGCCTACCGGTACGAGAACTCAAGAACCTTTCTTCCCCATCGGTTGTCGGTTCTTCGAGCTATATGGCCGGTCCACTGCCACTTCAACTTACTAATCCGTTGGGCTATGTCGGTTACTCTGGTTCTACTGCGGATATACTCATTTCTAAGTTTATCACGCAGAGAAACCCCGAGCATAACCCTCTCCATAGCTCGCTGAGTGACCTTGAGCTTCCTCATACGGCCAGCAGTGAAGGACCACGTCTCAGATTCGTAAGTCATCACTGGCAACAAGCACTGGTTGTACAATTTCGTTTTAAGGTTTTGAGGTATGTCTGACGAGAAGATGTGTCGCAGTTTCCCGAACGCTGCCCAGCCGAGTTGAATCCGTCAATTGACCGTCGGTCGAAGTTGGACTTACCTAGTCGGACCATTTATCCCAGGTAAACATACTCGTCAACAACTTAGAACTTAGCGGTCCCAACAACTACCTGCATAGGTGTGACATGGACATTAAACATGATCTTTGTTTTGTCCATATTCATCCTAAGACCTATTCGTTGGGAGACACTATTGAGGTCATTGAGCATGGTGCTGAGGTCCTCCAGCGATTCTGCCATAAGGACTATATCGTCGGCAAATCGAAGGTGAGTGATATACTCGCCATTGATGTTAATACCGTATCCTTTCCAGTCCAGAAGCTTGAAAACGTCTTCCAATGCAGCGGTGAAGAGTTTCGGGGATATAACGTCACCCTGTCTTACACCTCTGTGCAATTGGATAGGTTTCGTACTCTGGTTCTGTACTCAGATAGCCATCGTAGCTCTACTGTACAAACACTTCAGCACTTCGATATACCGACAGTCAACTTGGCACCGCTGAAGGGACTGCAGCACCGCCCAAATTTCGACGGAATCAAAGGCTTTCTCATAGTCCACATACGCCAGACATAGTGGCAAATTGTACTGTTCGGTCTTCTGTACAATTTGCCGAAGGGTATGTATGTGGTCTATGGTGCTAAAGCCCTTTCGGAAACCGGCTTGTTTGGGAGGCTGGAAGTCGTCAAGTCTGCGCGCGAGGCGATTCGTAATGACTCTCGAAAACAGCACGTATACGCGGCTCAGAAGGGAAATCGGTCTGTAGTTCTTCAAGAGAGCGTTGTCACCTTTCTTGAAGAACAAGACCGCCGCACTTCTACTCCACGCCTCCGGTGTAATGCCACCATGGAGGACGGAGTTAAAGAGCTTCTGAAGGACTTCTAGTAACGGTCTTCCACCCGCTTTCAGAAGCTCCGCTGTAATTCCATCCTCGCCTGGGCCTTGCCGTTTTTAAGTTGCTGGAGAGCCATTCTAATCTCGCTCAGACTGACGTCCGAGATATCATCGGAATAGTGTCGGTGTTTAGGCCAAAAATGGGCATTTGAAATTAGCATCCAATGAGCGCGCTCAGCGCGTCACCCGACGGTGTCGAGGTGAGGTAAACGCCGCCGGGGGGGGGGGGCCGTGCGTCGCTTCCCGTTCGCTCGACGCGTGGGCGAAGAGTGTCTGGAACGTCGCGGCTCTGTCTACTAGGATGGAATAACCGTTCTTGCGCAACGGAGGTCGCGCGCCTCCTACGGTGTTATCTTAATTTGTTGTCTTGATAACGAGGCGGATCTCATATAATTATTGTTGTAACCGTTTCGAGTATTGTTTGCGACCGTTTGTAGGTCGGGCGCGGCTGGTGTCCATTAATTGTGCGCGTCGTTTGAATTTACTATTGAATATTTTCGTCTAGTTAAGACCGCCTCGAATTTAGTTGTCTGTTTTGAGCGTGTTACGTGACAAGAGGCCTAATTTGAGTTTTGAGTGATTAAATTAACTGATTGCCATTGATTTGCATCGACGAGTTGTTTATGCGTCATTTTGATAGCGTGATAAGACTTTTTGCTTTGTCGGGAGAACGCTGAACTTTGTGACTCGAGAAGAGACCGCGTTCGTTCTAGTGATTATAATTTGTTGCTAAGTGAACATGGAACGTCGAACTTTGACCTACTGTTCTTTACTTGTGTCGTGTGTCACTTGTTTTGATTGCGATTAACGTGGACTTAGTTGTATTTGAAGTTTGTTAAATGTACAATAAAGTTGATAAACTAATATAGTGAAAGTGAAAGCAGAAGGTTTCAATTGGTGAACGCCCCCCCCCCCCCCTGGAGGGATCGCACATTTGGAGAAGGGCAGCTCCTGTGGATCTGCAGTCCGACTGCATCGAGGATGTCAGGTCACATTGATACACACTACTACACACTACTTACATACACATCACTTATCACCTGACAGGTACCCTGTGGTCAACCCTACCTCCGGAAATCGGTAAGTGTACTTGCTTATTTGTCAGCCTTTTTTGGAACCGTTATCCATAGGCCATTGGGCTCCACCCTTGGTTGCTCGTCGAGGGGACCACTCATGGGCCCTGGTCCAGTCGACCTTTGTTGGGACAACTAAGGGCGTGTACAGTCGGATAAGACTCGCTCTTGGATCGTTACTCACACTTACGTGTGGCTCCAACGATGACGTGTAAAGCTGCCCATAGAACCTCTCAATCTGACTCAAAATCTCAGGTGCCCCGGAAACTCGGTCTTCAGATTCGACAGTTGGCTTTTTCTGGCAGACAGATCTCTGGCAAAGACTGGAGCCTTGGTTCCGCTCAATCGCTTCTTCAATACAAGCTGTATTGAAGTTGCGTAAGTCCCGCCGCATGCATTTGGAGATCTGTCTATTCAGTTGCCTGTATGCTGTCAAATCTGTTGAAGAATGTAGCTTCATCTCCCGTCTAACAGCCATGAGATTGAGAGTATGATCGGAACTTAGCTCCGACCGCATGGACAGTTTCCACGAGCTTGTCATTCATATCGTCCACTTCATTGCAGTCTTCTAGGCACTGAAAACGGTTTTGTAACTCGAGCTGAAAGGTTTCGGGACTTGGAACAGAGCACGAGGCGGACGGAGCGTTGACTTCATTAGACGAGACCTCTCCAACTTAACGTATAAGATTCAGTGTGCCTCTAACCATTCGGTGATCGCTACCAGTTTTCACCCTCGCGATCACGGAGACATCACTGAACAGTTGTCGTCTGGTCGTCATAATAAAGTCAATCTCATTTTTTGTGGAACCGTCGGGGCTCGACCAGGTCCACTTCCTGTGGGGCCGCTCTGGAAGAAAGAGTTCATCATAAAGAGTCCCTCTTTCTCCATGAAGTCGGCCAGCTGCTGGCATCTTGGGTTCCGTTGCCCTATTCCAAATTTCCCTACTTTCAGCTCACCGTTCTCTCTTGTGCCTAGTTTTGCATTGAAGTCTTCCATTAACACCGTATATTGGGTTTTGGAGGAATGCATGGCTCTAGAGATATCCTCATACATTTCCTCCACCTCCTCATCGGGGTGTGCCGAGGTTGGTGCGTAAACCTGCATGACCTTCAGCGAATGCCGTTTGGTGATTCTGAGTATAAGGTACGCAATCCTCGTCGACACATTCTCATATATATCGTTACAACGTTGTTAACGAGAGACTTGTGGACGATAAATCCGACACCTCCTTGGAACAGATAGTCGCCCACCCGGTGATAGAGCAAGTTGCCGGATTCGAGGATTACCGTGTCCTCCCCCTCTCTTCGGACTTCGGATAATCCTATAATATGCCAGCGTAACTTGTCTATCTCTTCTTCCACGATCCTGTCCATGATCCACGATCTTCTCGTCAATCCTCAGGGTGCGTGCGTTGTATGTTGCCAGGTCGAGTCGTCTTAGATGGCAACCGAACCTCCACCGGAGATTCTTAGCACCCCCTGCCCCGCCGTTACCATGTTGGCCACCGTAGCCAGGAATAGCAGGGCCGCCGGGGACTTGGGGCTGTTTCTTTGTTACTGTCATCGTAGGGGGGTATTTGCCATAGTTGCCACGCTTGGCGAGCGGGTTGGCAACCGCAGTTTTTTTATTGTAAGTTTGTTGTTATCAGGAAGATGCTGCTGCCCATCTCCTGCCTGTTTCCCTTTGTCGCCTTTCACGACACCCATGGGAAGATATGGGGTAGTGGATATTCTTAACCGCCACTACACGGTACATACTACATATGAGCGAACGAAATACAGACAAGGTGATTTCTTACGATTTGTAACATACGAATTATTTTCACATTGACGAGCATTGAAAAGTCATTGTAGTTGTACTCACGGCTATTAAGCTACCCATTTCCAATACAATAAGATCCAGCCTATTGACGAAGTAATATGGCAAACAGCACCGCGCTGGACCAGCTTATACCGGAAATGAGTAGTTTGAGACGTCAATATTTTAAACAGTTTAATTTCATTTAATACATCGCCTTTCAGAAAGACATTAATATTAATCCCGGGACATGTCCATATTAACATTATAATTCAAGTTCATTGACTCAAAACGGAACTACCTACGCCGATAACTACTAATTATTGTGAATAGCATGACCATTACCGATATTTTTTTATTTACTATGTTATGGGTTATTTTAGGAGGTTACGTGACAATAATTTTCGACGATTAAAAATTCCTTAACAGAAAGAACTACAAAACATCCTCCGGATGGCGGGCAGCTTCGAAAACAAGATGGAGACCTTCCTGGCGACAGGCAACGCTCCATCTAACAACGTCAACTTGGCGCAGTACAAAGGGCTAACTATCGTCGCCGAAAATATCAATAGGATGCGCTACATGTCGCATTTCAAGTGAGTCTGATAATGTCATTTAATAATATTCACAATAGCACCGAAGGTGTTTGGTATTTGGTTATTTATTCATATTATTTGTGGCTGACAAATAATATAAATAAATAACAATTAATGTAGTAACAAAAATAAATATAAAATAACCAAGCACAAACAAAAACATAAAAACATGCGTGAGTGTTGTGGAACACTCGGTTAGAACGAAGCTCCTTTCGTAGTATATTATTATTGATAAACGTAAACGTATACGTATATAGCGTCTATTAAAATGAAGCGTCATTTAAAAACAAATCTTTCATGGTAAGTTAAGAAAAATTGCAAGGGAGATGGATATTATTCCATCTCGCTTCCTTATAGCCGCCAAGGCCGTCTACACTACGTCAGAAGGGGTTGTGGCGGAAAAATCTTACACTTTGTCGCCTAGCCCCCATCTGCCAAATCCGTACCGTCCGATAAGGAACTTCTTTTCAATAATTTCGAAACTAAAATGGCGTTTACTCACCACATAAGTTATGAAAACCGCTCCGAAGCTATTTTCAGTCCACTACAGAGACGTGGCGTTATTAATCTAAACTTAACTAAACTAGGGTTCTCAAAATAAATTTAACCTGGAACTTGGTGGAGCTATGCTGCGGATATATGATAGTTGTAGCACGAATGGGTTGGCTCGACCGGGGAGGACCACGCTCTCACAGAATACCAGCGTAAAATAGCAGCTTAGTGCTGTTGTGTTTCGTATGGTGGATATAGAGAACCGGAGACCCTTTTTACTGGAAAAGAGGCATTCCATCTTAGTCTTCAAGACTGACAACGCATCTACATTTTGATTCTTAATTCAGGATAGATCCATCAGTTGGACTGTGTGCTCGTTTGTCAAACTTATTTTATAAAAAAAATATGTCCTTATTAAGGTTATGCTGTAGTAACAAGAGTATGATTACAATTATGTAGTTATGTAATTATATCATATTTAAACTGTGATGATCACAAACTAGGTGCTTTATCGTATTTACACCAGTGTAACAAAGGAAGCATATAATGTTTTGAAGTTGATTAAGGACCATTTTTTATCTCGTCTCAGAGCAATCCACCGTGGTTCGTTCTTCATGGAGATGCGTACAACGGAGGCTCGGCAGCTGTTGCCCGATGCCTGGGGCTTCGTTTGTCCCGTGCACACGCCCGATGGAGCTCCGTGTGGTCTTCTAAATCATCTCACAGTGTCGGCGCAGGTTAGCGTCTTAATATCGAAAACATAGTCCAAATTATTTATATCTCATGCAGATAAAGAATGGGATTATAAACGGCGTCGCCTGTATTCACCTCTCGCTTGCATACTGTCTCTGTCTATATTCAAAACCGCTAGTAATGAAAAAATAACGGTAATCATGTGTTGCAATAAACGTTTTTTGTCTTTTATTGCTTTTAACTTCCGGCCCAAGTAACAGAACTTACTTTTATTTTAGTAGTAACTTGTTTTAAGTAGTCTGTATGATAATGATAACATTACTTAATAATTTATTTATTTATTTACGTTCCACTTACCTATTTTAATATTACGTTAGTAATTTTATTTTATTACAAAATTCAAATAATTTAATTTACTAATGAGTAAAAAAAATCTAAAAAAGAAAAACAATATGATGTTTTATAGAATATCGTTATTTCGTTATTGTCGTTGCCGTTTGATGAGCCGCCATTTTTAATCCCTTTATTTATTCGCACGGGTAGTAAATAATATGTACTACGTACTAGAACTGACATCACTAACAAAACTTGACTTACGGTCAGCCACCATAGAGTCTACGTATAGTCAAAATTAATGCCTCTTTCAAAGGCGTCCATAATAATTTTCTTTGTTTTCTTCACTACTTTGAGACATGGACACACAAAAACTGGTTTATACCAACTTACGTGCAAAAGGACTGGCATTTATTGTAACTATTTTGTTTAAATAAATATTTTTCTCTTCAGGTCACGCAACATCCAGATCCAAAACTGTTGGCATCGCTTCCCTTTGTACTGGAAAAATGCGGTGAGTTTCCATTACGAGCTGTAAAATGTCAATATATAATATTGTTACGCGCCACTATTAATGTCTTGTACATGGCAACACTAGTTACACTAGCGCCCCCTAGTGTCGAGTAAATGAAAGTATTGCGCGCCACTATTAATGTCTTGTACATGGCAACACTAGTCACACTAGCGCCCTCTTGTGTCGAGTAGCAGAACTAGGAGAGTCGAGATCCTTCCAGAAATTTCGGGACCGATATGTACTCGAACATTCTCGATGTCGCTACAGTAGAAGGTTCTGGAAACTATCTGAGGCCCTATATAAGGCCGGTATAGACCACGACCGGGGCAGTATTGAATTGGCGATACAAGAGAATACTTCGAAGCGAAATAACGGCGAACTGTGTTTTATTATTAGTGTGATTTAAGATTGTAATTAGTGTTGTGTAATTAAAGTGTCAATTTTGGTAAATCAATCGGCAGTTTTTAATTGTCTCGAACCCCAAGCTCGTAACAATTGGTGTCAGAAGTGGGATCAAATATGCCGATTTTACCTAAAGACGACACGGAGGGTATCCGTACCCGAAGTCAACGCCAACAGGAGACGGACCAGAGACGATTTGGTAATGAAACGCCGCAAACGTCGGAGGGCCAGTTGCTAACCACGGAGGCTGGCCCGTCAGCAGCTCCTGCATCTGCAGCACCTGACTTAGGTGCTCTGATGATGATGCTGCAGGATCAGGCTCGCCGACAGGAGGAACAGGCCCGCCGACAGGAGGAACAGACCCGTCGGCTGGAAGAGCAGCTGCAGCGCGGTATGGAAGAACAGATGCTCCTCAGGAAGGACCTTCACGCTACCTTCGGGAAAGAGATAAAGGAGGTGAAGGATAGGGTTGCTCAACATGAGAACCGCCTGTCGGAAGCTGAAACCCGAATCGACCAAGTGAACAATCGGGTTGACAACGTGATGGCTGATGTGAAGAAAACGCTGGATGACCTCAAACTTGGGGATGGAGTTACAGCTCCCGTGGTAGCTACAACACCTTCGCTACGTGGATTCAAAGTGCCACCGTTCGACGGGACTTCTTCCTGGTCGGCCTATAAAATCCAGTTCGAGGCTGTCATGAAAGCGAACGGCTGGAATAAAAGTCAGGCCATGACTGCTCTCACCCTAGGCCTGCGCGACCAGGCATTAACTGTTCTGGAAGCTCTCGGTAAGGAAGTGACTTACGAGCAGCTCCTTGAGGCATTGGAGGCGAGATATGGCGACGCTCACCTGGAACACGTCTTTCGTGCGCAGCTCAAAGATCGCGTGCAACGCAGTAACGAAAACCTGCAGCAGTGGGTCCTTGAGGTGGAGAAGCTGGTTCGAAAAGCTTACCAGTCTGTACCTGTGCTCATTGTAGGGAACCTGGTGCAGACTTTCATCGACGGCATCCGCGACCTTGAAGTCAGAGCTGCTGTGAGGCTCGGGCACCACGAGACGCTTAAGGACGCCCTGACCCATGCACTGGAGGTGGAAGCCGTGCGGCAGGATCATCGTTCCCACCGCGTCAGGGAGGTTGCAGCAGCTACAGTTCAGGACCGCAATAAGGGCTACAACCCTAGGTGCTACGGCTGTGGGGAAAGGGGCCATCTTCGATCCAGCTGCCCTAAACGAACTGTAGAAAGGGAAGGTGATCGATCTCGAGAGGGTAGTGCGGATAATAGCACCGCCCAGCAGCAGCAGGGAAACGAGTAAAAGCCAGGACTGCGGGGCGGGTGCTGGCTGATGTTAAAAGAGCCCCAAGGATTTCGATCTCACAAACCCATGATGGGAACAGCCTAATCATCAAGGGCGAAGTCAACGGAACGCCGTGTAAACTGACCATAGACACTGGAGCCTCTCGCACGGTTGTCAGTTCCCAACTTATAAGTCGGTTCCTTGGGGACTCCGCATACAACCGAGAACGCATTAATTTGGTGACAGCCACCGGTCAGCGCATACCCGTCCGTGGAGAGAAGGAGATGGAGTTGAAGCTAGGCAACATGATCTACCTGCATAATGTCATCGTGGCTGATATAATGGACGACTGCATCCTGGGCCTAGACTTTATGAGGAAGAATTGTTGTGAGATCGACGTTAAGCAAGGTGTTTTGAAATGTGGAGAAGAAGAACTTTTCGTGGAAGGGGCGTTACCAGGGAATGTGTACAGCCTTAAGAAGATTGTTCTTCCGCCGAGATCGGAAACGATTGTGCCGGTTAGTCTTCCTCGGAGTCCTGGGCAAGCTCATCGTTGTGTACTCGTGGAAAGGGTAGACAATGACCTTCCATGGAAAGTGGCTCGAACCTTGGTCAGAACCACCGACATCTCAGGAGTACGTGTGTTGAACCTTTGTGATCAGGAACAGATTATAGAAAAAGGCACATTGGTTGGTACTAGTGAGGAAGTGGATTGGTTGCGTCGATGCGAATATCTATCGACTGGGACCCTTAGCAAGGATGGACAAACGAGAGTGACCACACTTTTAGAAGACTGTCGCAGCGTTCTCTCCCCGAATGAAATGGTCAAGGCGAAGAAGTTGTTACTCAAGTACGCCAATGTTTTCTCGTCAAACGAAGCTGACATAGGAAAGACTGGCTTAGTTCAACACAAAATAAACACAGGACAAGTATTGCCTATTCGTCAGCGGCCAAGAAGATTGCCTGTAGCACGTGAAAAGGAAGTGGAAACCATGATTGAGGGAATGGTGAAGGATGGTGTTATTGAACCTTCATCTAGTCCATGGTGTTCACCTGTGGTGCTGGTAAAGAAGAAGGACGGCAGCATGCGGTTTTGTGTTGACTACCGCCGCCTGAACGACGTTACAAAGAAGGACAGCTATCCCTTGCCTAGAATTGATGACACGCTGGACATGCTCACAGGCGTAAAGTGGTTTAGTACGCTGGACCTGAAAAGTGGCTACTGGCAGGTTGAAATTGACCCTAAGGACAAGGAGAAAACTGCATTCTCCACAGGAAAGGGTCTGTGGCAATTTAAAGTCATGCCGTTTGGATTGTGCAATGCTCCAGCAACGTTTGAAAGATTGATGGAGCTTGTACTTACCGGGCTAATTGGAGATGCCTGTCTGGTCTATTTGGATGACATCATCATCGTAGGCCGTACGTTTGAGGAACACCTTCAAAACCTGGAACGCGTGCTCATGAAGATCCAGAGTGCCAACCTCAAGTTGAGTCCAAAGAAGTGCTCACTATTCAAACGGCAAGTTAGTTTTTTGGGGTATGTAGTGTCGGAAGAAGGTATCCGCACGGATCCAGAGAAAATTGCTGCTGTCAAGGAGTGGCCGGTCCCAAAAGACAAGACACAGGTTAGAGCATTTTTGGGTTTGTGCTCTTATTATCGGCGATTTGTGAAGAACTTTGCAGATATAGCCAAACCTCTGCACAAGCTAACCGAGGAGAAGCGACAATTCTGCTGGGATGAAAGTTGCGATATTGCATTCCAGGAGCTCAAGAACCGCCTGTGCAAAACACCTATTTTGGGGTACCCTGATGCGGGCAAGGAATTCATAGTTGACACAGACGCAAGTGATATAGGACTTGGCGGTGTGTTGTCTCAACGGAATGGTGATCAAGAGATTGTGATAGCGTACTTCAGCAAGTCGTTGTCAAAGCCGGAAAGGAACTATTGTGTCACAAGACGGGAATTGCTTGCTGTGGTAAAGTCCTTGCAGCATTTTAGCAAATATCTTCTAGGGCGGAAATTCCACTTACGAACTGACCATGCTGCACTGAAATGGCTATTGCAGTTCAAAAATCCGGAAGGACAAGTTGCGAGATGGATAGAACTACTGCAGGAATACGACTTTGTGATCGAACATCGCAGCGGGAAATCTCATGGCAATGCAGATGCATTGTCAAGAAGACCTTGCCCTGAAGATTGCAAGCATTGTACTAGGCAAGAGGGTAAGGAAGTGGTATCTGTGAGAATGCTCAGGACAGACCAGCTCAGCAATGAGTGGAAGGACAGCCTACAACATGCACAGCAGGAAGATTCGGACATTAAGCCGATTCTAGAATGGATGAAGGCCAGTGCTCCTAAGCCCAAGTGGAGCGACGTCTCAGCAATGAGTTCGACCACGAAAAGCTATTGGGCCCAATGGGACAGCTTGCTGATTCAGGATGGAGTCCTGTGCCGTAAATGGGAAAATGGTCGGGGAGACAGGTGTCATTTGCAAATGGTTGTCCCTAAGGCTAAAGTGCCGGATATTCTACGGCTGTACCATAGTGGTTGTTCAGGAGGCCACCTGGGAGTTAAACGAACTCTCCTGAAGATCCGAGAACGGTTTTACTGGGTCCACTGTCGTGACGATGTCGAGGACTGGTGCCGCAAATGTACAAGTTGTGCGGCTGTAAAGGGACCTCAAATTCGTAGTAGAGGCGCATTGAAATTGTACAATGTTGGTGCACCATGGGAGAGGATAGCCATTGACGTTGCGGGGCCGTTTCCAGAAACTGAAAGTGGTAACAAGTATTTCATGGTAGTGATGGATTACTTCACTAAGTGGCCAGAAGTCTTCGCCATTCCAAATCAAGAAGCTTCAACAGTTGCAGATAAACTAGTTCATGAAGTCTTCTGCCGTTTTGGAATACCTTTAGAGATTCACAGCGATCAATGAAGGAATTTTGAGTCTCAAATATTCCAGGAAACTTGCCGAGTTATGGGTACTCAGAAAACACGAACAACTTCTTACCACCCACAATCTGATGGAATGGTAGAAAGATTTAATCAGACATTGGAGAGGTACCTAGCAAAAGTTGTGGAAAAACGGCAACGAGACTGGGACAGGCACATACAACCGTTTTTGTTGTCATATCGAAGCGCTGTTCACGAAAGTACATCAGTGACACCAGCTTTCGCAAACTTTGGGAGAGAATTGCGGCTGCCTGCAGACCTGATCACCGGAATACCACCTGATGCCCCACGCAGTATAACCGATTATGCAAATGACTTGCGGAACAAAATGAATGACATTTATGAGCACGTCAGACAGACGGGCCAGCAAACGTCTGAGAAGATGAAAACACGGTATGACCGCAAAATGAACAACAAGGGCTTTGATGAAGGTTCACTAGTGTGGTTACACAATCCAGTTCGCAGCAAAGGGAAATCTCCTAAGCTTCAAGCTAAATGGGACGGACCGTACCGGATTGTGACAAGGATCAATGATGTAACCTACCGGATACAGAAAGGTGCCAGAGGTACTCCTAAGATTGTCCATGTGGATCGACTGGCGCGTTATTATGGGGCCAATAATGCTCGGGACGAGCATGTCTTAGGAGGGGGCAGTGTTACGCGCCACTATTAATGTCTTGTACATGGCAACACTAGTTACACTAGCGCCCCCTAGTGTCGAGTAAATGAAAGTATTGCGCGCCACTATTAATGTCTTGTACATGGCAACACTAGTCACACTAGCGCCCTCTTGTGTCGAGTAGCAGAACTAGGAGAGTCGAGATCCTTCCAGAAATTTCGGGACCGATATGTACTCGAACATTCTCGATGTCGCTACAGTAGAAGGTTCTGGAAACTATCTGAGGCCCTATATAAGGCCGGTATAGACCACGACCGGGGCAGTATTGAATTGGCGATACAAGAGAATACTTCGAAGCGAAATAACGGCGAACTGTGTTTTATTATTAGTGTGATTTAAGATTGTAATTAGTGTTGTGTAATTAAAGTGTCAATTTTGGTAAATCAATCGGCAGTTTTTAATTGTCTCGAACCCCAAGCTCGTAACAATATGAATGCAAAATAAATGTCAGTTTCAATGTGATGATGATGGTGACATCATCCATCAATTGCAGCTACTAGTCGACTGCTGAACATAGGCCTCTGATAGATTGCCTCATACGGGGAGTTTGCCATGGTTGGCACACTTGGTAGACGGGTTTTACCGCAGTTTTTTAAATATTTTGAGTTATCAGGAACATGCTGTTGCCCATCTGCTTCAGTTTCTCTATGACGCTTCTTACGACATACAACGCCACTACACGATATATGATGTTATGCTCTGGTCAAAGTCGACAGAAATCGAAACGGAAACAGGAACTTTTTTATTCAATATAGATTATAAATAATACTTATTGAAAGTCACTCTTTTGTTTAATTACCACTGGTTCGAAAAAAACTGTCCTGGAAAGAACCAGCAAGAAACCTAGTGGGACATTTAAAAAAAAACAGCTTACAATCGTGTATGTTACACAATTAGCAAAACAAATTAGAAATAGCTTGGTAGCGATCACCTTCACTAGCGACTACTGCGATACAGTGTGAAAGGTAAGTGACACAATACGCGAGCAATCCAGGTTATATACGCCGGCATCAACATTGAAGTAATATGTACTACGTACTAGAAGAGACATCGAGAATTTATTGTTTGCAACACGCGTTAGAGCCCACGCTCGGCTCAAATTTTTTTTATAGAATGAGGGTGACAAACGAGCACACAATCCACCTGATGGTAAGTGGATGCAGTGGCCCATAGACATTTACATTTATCACTTAATAACACCTTTTAACGCAGTCGAGTTTTATTTAATTACAGTTTTTTAACCGTTGGGTTTGTTTAATTCAGCTTTCATATTTTTTCAACAGGCATGGAACCCATTAGCTCCGTAACCCACGAGAAACTGTCGCACGACGTATACAAATACCCAGTGTTCATAGACGGCCGCCTGGTCGGTTACTTCGCTGAGGACACGTTGGAGAAGTCCACAGCTTATCTACGGACCTTGAAAATAAAGGGACAGGACATGCCTATTACCACTGAGATTGTCGTCATTCCCAAGAAACAGGTAAGAATTATGTCCTGCTCCTGCTGTATCCTGGAGGGGTTTTTATAATAATTCTTTTTTTTTAATAAAAATTAAAGTTAACATATTGTTAAAAATTTTGCCTTGAAACGAAATTTTATTGTTGTAAATGGTTACTCATCATCATGGGCGCAGGTGACTTGTTAAAAGTTAAAGTTGAGTCCAACTGCTTGGCACAAGCCTCCTCTCGTTTCCGAGATGGTTTTGGGGCAAGGAAATGTCCGCCGCGATGCCCCAATACATGTTGACTTCAACTGTCTTCAACATATTTTTTCTCTTATTTCTCAGACATGGGAGTTTCCTCACGATGTTGTCCTTCACCGCCGAGCACGTGGTAAATGAGCACTTAAAATTGCAATTAACAATTTCATTAGTGCCGGCGGGGATCGAATGCGGGTTGCTCGCCTACTGTGAAATTTACAGCGAGCCCTTAGCCCTTGAGCTACCACGGCATAGTGGCACGATAGACTTGTGATGAGCTGTAATGACATCACTGCTGTGGATTACTAATTATGATTGTGGATCCAAGTGGACAGAGTGGAGCTAAAGCTCATATAAAATGATGTTATATTTAGTTATAATTTATTTATTTATTTAGAAAACCAACAGCGTATATAGAAAATATTAACATTAATGTAACAAACTAAAAGTATGGCCAATAACAGGTTTCCCTTATATTGTTTGATGGTAGGTGTATTGTTGTTAGAATAATAATAATAATGTCCTCCAGACCGAATTTCGGACACGGCGGCTACTCTCAACGGAGACTGGCCTCTACGCAGGACAGGATTATAGTGCCACGTGTATGCGCAAACACAGGCACTCTCTATTCCCTCACTCTCATAGTCCGATGGGACGGCAAACCGACACGACCGGAGAGAGATCAGGCGCATAACCAACGTGCTTTCCGACGCACGGGGGTGAGACACCGCCAATTACCTGACTCCGTGCAGTTACTGAGAATTTCTTTACGGAAAAACTCAATAACTATTTTTTTTTGCCCGACCTGGGGTTTGAATCTGGGACCTCATGATCAACAGTCGCATGTACAACCACTAGACCAACGAGGCAGTCTGGACTACTTATCTGTTTGGAGTCCGTCTGGTTAGATACCGCCCTGTTATCTATTTCTGCCGCCAAAAAACACTGTTTGCACTGCTGTGTTCCGTTGTAAAAGGTATAGAGAGACAGTATACATGCTGCGAGGTATTCATGACATTCATGCTGAGACGGTCCCTTCCATCACTTCATTATATCACACGATTTTGTTTTGTTTTAATGTGTGCGTGCGTGCGTGCGTGTGTGCGTGTGCGCGTATGTGCGTACGTGTGTGTGTGTGTGCGCGCGTGTGTGTGTCAGCGTGCATATGTATATATGTGTAATACTATTTTTGACATGTGAATAGAATAGAATAAATGTCTTTATGTTATTCCATCTTAATGTACAAAGTTGACAATGTATCTGTTGCCTCCTTCTTGTTGGTTGAAGGTGCAAGAAAGTTCTTTCCTTCTTTATATTTTTAATTTCCTTGTAGATTTGCGCGCAATACGCCGGCGTGTTTCTCTTCACCAGCGAAGCGAGGATGATGCGACCGGTCATCAACCTCTCGAACAGCCAACTCGAACTCATCGGCACCATGGAGCAGCTGTATCTAGACATTGCGGTCACGCAGACTGAGATTTACAAAGGTAAATTGATAGAATTTCTGTACTATATACAGTTTCAAACTTGTGGTCAATGTACCCAGCTACCTAATATCGAACTGACTTCTTTCTTTCTTTTCTTTTCTTTCGTTTATAAAAACGTTACCTACACATTAGGATTTTCGTCTGTATCGTGGAGATAGTTTACAAACATAAATTGCATAAGGACAAAGATCCAGACCCGGAACAATTATTTGTGGTCCATACAAATACTTGTCCCGTGCGGGATTCGAACCTGCGGTTCCCGGCACTGTGTTGCTAAGCCACTGCGCCTCGTCAACTGACTGATTGAATAGATTGAACTTTATTTTACTAACAACCCGCACCGCTTTCGCCTGGGTGGTATCTATTAATGTAGCGTAAATTAAGTTAGAGAAAATCATTAAAAACCATATATTTTATCAATTTTTTTCGAAAAAAACCTACATCTCTTCTGGCATTGTTCTCTATCTGCTCATGTAGTTTAATCACAATTAGCTCAGTGATTCCGAATTTTAGACCGGACAGACAGACAGACAAAATTTAAAAAAAAAGCTTATTTATGTCCTAATAGCTTTCAAATAACCCCCTAAGCTTAAAAGCAAATTATTTCTATTTTACAGACAGACACCAATTTTATTTATATGTAAATATATATATTATGTATAATTCACAACATTTTTTACACAAGTTTCGAGTGCATTCAAAAGTAATCGCCTCTCGCTCTCTCTTTTTCCCTTCGTTCCATTATTCTTACGATATGCGCTGTCCCGTTCTCGCTTGCAACAACTTGCTTATTTAGAATTGTACAAATATCGATTTGTTGTGTTACTGATGCATTATGTTGTATCCTTTTGCAGGAAGAACGACACATTTAGAGCTGTCAAAGTCCGCGTTCATGAGCAACCTGGCTCAGTTGGTCCCCATGCCGGATTGCAATCAGTCGCCGCGGTAAGTTTTATTATGGGCGTAGAGAAGTTAAGTTTCTTTGACACATCTTTAGTAATCCAATCCACAAAATTACGATTTAACCTCATTTAAAAAAAAAACTACACTAGAATTTCTCCTGTATTGTGAAGGTGTCTTACATACATAACTTCTCAAAGAGAAATATCCAACTCTTTTTCATTAATTTTCATAGAATAAGGGTAACAAACAACTACACAGTCCACCTGATGATAAGTAAATGCTGTGGTCCATAGACAACTACATCTATCCTCGACCAAGAATCAAATGCAGAAGGCACTTTCACCCTTGCGAGCTAAAATGGAATGCCTCGTTTCCAGTTAAATGGGTCTCCGATTCTCTACACTCACCATACGAAACACAGCAGTATTAAGCTTTTACGCTGGTATTCTGTGAGAGGGTGGTCCTACCACGTGACCCATTCGTACTACAACCATAATATAGCTGCAGCATGTAAGAATTTATGTAGTGACTACTTACCAAAAGATAGACTAAAGGAGAGAATACAATAGAATTATTTTTATTCAATATAGATCACATATACTTATTGAAAGTCATTTAAGCTTTACCACGGCGGCTTTTTGACGGCTCCGTGGCGCAGTGGCTTAGCAATGAGTTGCTGCGCTGGGGGGCGCGGGTTCGAATCCCGCACGGAACAAGTATTTGTATGGCCTACAAATGATTGTTCCGGGTTTGGATGTTTGTCCTTGTGAAATTTGTGTTTGTAAACTGCCTCCACGATACAGGAGAAAATCCTAGAGTGGGGGTAACGTTTAAAAAAAAAAAAAAAGACATCTTTAGTAAGCGTATTTACTGGTTGGAAAAAACCTCTGATCTGGAAAGAACCAGCAAGAAATCTAGCAGAAACTCGGACCAGATCTAAAATCTCGCTTCCTAATTAAAAATGTGGTTGAGGAATTAGTAATATACAAAACGCCTACTATCAGACATTTGGTATCATTATTACTAACATTTCCATGCACACATACATATACCCACATACGTATACACACACCACTACCCATACATGCACACACATGCACGCACGAAAGCAATTTAGATCCCAAATAAAGAGGTGGTATGAGAAAAAATGCTTATTTACTTCATCGTCGTCATCATTACAGCCCTTCACAAGTTCACCAACCAATGCCACAAAGCACGGTCCTGAGCCACATGCATCCATCGACTTCCTGCATGTCTTACCAGGTCGTCACTCGATCTAGTGGGGGGACGCCCTACATTTCCACCCGCCGCTACGAGGCCGCCACTCGAGAAACTTTTTTCCCCATCGGTTGTCGGTTCTTCAAGCTATATGATCGGCCCATTGCCACTTCAGCTTACTAATCCGTTGGGCTATGTCGGTCACTCTGGTTCTACTGCGGATATCCTCATTTCTAAGTTCATCACGCAGAGAAGCCCCGAACATAGCCCTCTCCATAGCTCGCTGAGCAACCTTGAGCGTCCTTATACGGCCAGCAGTGAAGGACACGTCTCAGTTCCATAAGTCATCACTGGCAATACGCACTGGTTGTACAATCTCGTTTTCAGGTTTTGACGTATACCTGACGAGAAGATGTGTTGTAGCTTCCCGAACGCTGCCCAGCCGAGTTGAATCCGTCGATTGACCTCTCGGTCGAAGTTGGACTTGCCTAGTCGGACTCTTTGTCCCAGGCATACATACTCGTCAACAACTTCGAGCTTAGTGCTCCCAACAACTACCAGCATAGGTGTGACATGGACGTTACACATGATCTTTGTTTTGTTATGTTCATCTTAAGATCTGTTTGTTGGGAAGCACTATTGAGGTCATTGAGCATAATGCTTAGGTCCTCCAGCGATTTTGCAGTAAGGACTATATCGCCGGCTAATCAAAGGTGAGTGATGTACTATCATTGGGATTGTTTATTATTATTGTATTACATAGTATATTATATACTATGTACTATATTTTTAATATGATTGGCGGTCCACCACTGTGCGATTTAGAAGATGTTTTCTTCCTCGCACAACTTCCTTGTGGAATAGTTTACCACCTGCTATTTTTCCGTACCGATACGACTTAGGAACCTTCAAGAAAAGAGCTTACTCCTTTTTAAAAGGCCGGCAACGCATCTGCAATTCCCCTGGTGTTGCGGTTGTTCATGGGCGGCGGTAGTCACTTACCATCAGGTGAGCCGCATGCTCGTTTGCCCCCTCTCCTATAAAATAAAAAATACTCGCCATTGATGTTAATGCCCTTTCTAGTCCAGTAGCTTGAAAACGTCTTCCAATGCAGCGGTGAAGAGTTTCGGGGATATAACGTCACCATGTCTTACTCTTCTCTGCAGTTGAATAGGTTTCGTGCTCTAGTTCTGTACTCGCATAGCCATTGTAGCCCTACTGTACAAACACTTCAGTACTTCGATATATCGACAGTCCACTGGGCACCGCTGAAGGGACAACAGCACCGCCCAAATTTCGACGGAATCAAAAGCTTTCTCATAGCCCACATACGCCAGACATAGTGGCAAATTGTACTCTTCGGTCTTCTGTACAATTTGCCGATGGGTATGTATGTGGTCTATGTTGCTAAAGCCTTTTCGGAAATCGGCTTGTTCGGTAGGCTGTGGCTAGTTCGCTAGTCGTCGAGTCGTGCAAGACGATTCGTAGTGACTCTCGAAAACAGCACGTAGACGCGGCTCAGAAGGGAAATCGGTCTGTAGTTCTTCAAGAGAACATTATCGCCTTTCTTGAAGAACAAGATCACCGCACTTCTGCTCCACGCCTCCAAAGTAGTCCCACGGACGGAAGTAAAGAGCTTCTGAAGCACTTCAAGTACCGGTTTTCCTCCCGCTTTCAGAAGCTCCTGATTTACGTAATCAAATGAAACCCCTATTCAAAGTATAATGGTCTTTTATATTAATACTCACTTAATCTATACTAATATAATAAAGCGGAAGAGTTTTTTGTTTTTTTGTTTGTTTATACGCGCAAATCTCTGGAACTACCAGTCCGATTTGAAAAATTCTTTTTGTATACTATAGCCAGATTCATGTGGAATAGTATAGGCTATCTAGCATAAAGCTATATTACTCAGCTAGCTTTAAATATGGATATTTGTTAAGCAAGTCAGAAGAAAAAGCACTCCCGAAATGATTTATCCGCGTACGCTGGTGTTATCGTTAGGGATACGTAAATACAATGTTGTAGAAAAATATAGACCTTTACTCCGTCTAAAAAAAAGTCCGCGATACCATGTGTCTATTTCTTATACATGAGCCATAATTTGGTATTTTGTGACAAAAATATATTGAAAATTTAAAAGTGATTTATGAGCGTTATTATTAGGCATGGCCTATTTATCCTTACGAACGAAAGTTACTTCATCATTAAGACAATTTTATGAAGATAAACTTTGTTCTTCATACCATGTTATTTGGACGCATAGTTTTCTTAAATATCTCTTGATAATGTAAAATTAAAATAATTCAATACTTGGCTGGGTGCGTGAACGACGTTTAAACCCTAGCCGTTATAAAATGCTTGAACTAGGTCATGCCGCGCACCTCGGACACGTGATGACGCGGGTTTTCACCCGCGTCATCCCGCCCGCGGACCCGCGGGGCACAGCTAGTATTTAGTAAATACTTATCAAATGTAACATCTAATTGTTTGTTGTACATATTTAGAAAGACCCTCGTAGATTTCTGAGAACTGAATCACATTTTTTTAGTTTAGTACTGATACCGGATTAAGCGAGGTCCTGATTATCAAGAATGCACTGTTACCGTCACCGTTACAGCCTATTAAAGTCCACTGCTGAACATAGGCCTCCCATAGATTGCCTCATAGGAAGAATATTTGCCATTGCTGCCACGCTTGGCAAGCGGATTGGCAACCGCAGTTTTATTTTTATTTTTAGTCGTTATTAGACTCCAATGTATAACATTTTAAATTCATTTAATTATTTACATTTAACCTTTGTTCACCAGAAACATGTACCAATGCCAGATGGGTAAACAGACCATGGGCACGCCGATCCACACGTGGTCCACGAACGGGGAGACCAAGTTATACCGGCTGCAGACGCCCGCAACGCCATTGTTCCGACCCACGCACTATGACAACGTCGGCTTGGACGACTATCCCTGCGGAACCAACGCTATAGTGGCAGTTATCTCTTATACCGTAAGTATTTTTACTTCTACCCACAATATTCTTTTCTTGATTGCAGTTAATTATTTTAAGTTTTTTTTTTTTATTTTGTTATGGCTAACAGGTTTGTGACTTAGCATTAATATATTATAAAAGTTAGATTAAGTCTTTTTAATTTTTTTTTAAATTAAAAAGTTTTGGATTCTTTATCGGCCTTACTAATAGATAGCGGCGCAAGTCGTGGGCACTAAGGCCCGTTTTAATAAACGTTACTCAACGTCAAACTCAAGTGCATAATCATTTGATACGCCCTCATTACGATATCAGCATCTCAAGATCGTTGCTAATTAATAAACACATAAAAACAGTATATCTCAAAACGCTGTACTTAGGAATACATTTGCACTCAAGTACACACACTTGAGAGTCGAGTTTCGTTTATTAATCAGTGTTTTTCTTATAGGATAGGGTGACAAACGAGCACACAGTCTACCTGATGGTAAGTGGTTGCTGTGACCCATAGACATCATCTACATTTATTCTCAATAAAGATTCAAAATGCAGATGCGTCGTCACCCCTGAGGATTAAGATGGAATGCCTCTTCTCCAGTAAAATGAGTCTCCGGGTCTCTACACTCACCATACGAAACACAGCAGCGTTAAGCTGCTATTTTACGCTGGTATTCTGTGAGAGCGTGGTTCTTCCCCGGTCGAGCCGACCCATTCGTGCTACAACTATACTATTATTAATATAGCTGCAGCATGGCTCTACCACGTCTGAGCCAGTGTGGCACTCAGGTGATATCGTAAACCTAAACCGCATCTTGAGATATGTTTATTAATAAGATCGTAACCTCAAGATTGTACTCAAGTGTGTGTACTTGAGCTGAGTAACGTTTATTGATACGGGCCTAAGTGACAGTATTTCCGCAGGTATATTTTCCAGACACTATACTGCAGGCGAATGACATGTGAATATCCAATAGATCGGACCAATCACGTAAAAGTATGTTCACCGTACCCACCCCGCACTCTTGTGTTTCACCTCGATATATCGATTATTAGGCAGCCTTTTTTTGGAGCTTTTACTTGCGGCTCCGTTCACATTTAATTGGAAGCTGATTATTGTTTTATTATCGACTAAATCTTTCGACTAAAACTTTTTTGCTGAAAATATAACCTATGTCCTATACTGATCCATCATTAATTGAATTAAAAGAAAATCCATTCATTAGTTTTGGCTGATTGAGAAATAAACATGCAAACATCCATACAAACCTTCGCATTAATAATATTAGTAGGATACTCGTTCTTTAATTGAAATTGAATTGAGGAAGAATTAGTTTCCACTCTCGCTACTCTTAGCAAAGATAATAAAATTAGCAATTAGTCGAATTAAAAAAAATTAATAAGTTCAACAATCATTTATCTTTCTGACAATGTGCTTTTTATATCATTTATATGTATAATATGATTGCTGGATACGATTTCATGCTACAAAACGTTGTAATCTTGATTTTTAGGCACTAGTAGAACATACCTATGCGCTTTGCGCTCGGCATGCAATAATGTTCTTCAGATCGAATTTCAGTCACGGCGTCCAGTAGCAAACAGAGACTAGTCAACTAGTCAATCAACTAGTGAACCATCTGCACAGGAATGGATTATAGTGCACGAGTATATCTATCACAGCACAACAAGCACAGGTGCACTCTCCATTCCTGTACTCTTTAATTACCACCTCTGTTACCATTTCAGAATGATGTTCTTCAGTGAGCCGAAACGGCAAAACGAACTTCGCATCCTCTTTATTGTCACTTTAAAAGGCCAATGATACAATCTATATATCTTTTAGGGTTTTATTTTTTTTTGCCCGGAAGCCTAATTATTTTTCTAAAACAAAAGTAGCCTAAGTTACTCCTTATAACATCAGCTGTCTGCCAGTGAAAGTCCCATTAAAAACGGGCCGGCCGTTTCGGAGATTAGCCGGAACAAACTGACAGACAGACGGCCGGACAGACAAAAATTTTAAAAATTGTGTTTTTGTTATAAGTACCGTATATACATTTAGTAAATTTAGTAAATTTCATATGCATTTAGTAAAAAGCTGGTATTTTGACATTACAAACAGACACTTCAATTTTATTTATTTGTATAGATGTACTTCCCATTAAGTGAACAAGGTTGTTTTGAGAAATTAAATTTCTTTATAACCTAAATGGCAACCGTGTAATGGTGGTGTAAGAATGTCCACTAGCCCATATCGTCCTGTGTCTTAAGTCGCGACAGAGGGAAAATGAAACAAGAGATGGGCGTCAGCATCTATCTGATAATAACTCAAAATAATTGAAAGCTGCGGCTGCCAGCCCGCTTGCCAAGCGTGGCAACTATGGCGAAATTCGTCAATGAGTACAATCTATCAGGGAGGCCTGTGTTCAGCTGCGGACTTTTATAGACTGTAATGGAATGGACTTGCCACGCTACGCCGTTATACTGTTGCGGTTTCTCTCCTAGGGCTACGACATGGAAGACGCGATGATAATCAACAAGTCATCATACGAGCGTGGTCTGGCTGCCGGCTCGGTGTACAAGGCGGACTTCATCGAGCTCAAACACGCCTCCTCGTATTTCTGGCGCGACCCCAACAAACCAGAACTCGCTACGCACATCGACGAGGACGGCCTTCCAGCAGTGGGGGCCCGGGTTCAGCCTGAGGATCCTTTCTATTGGTAAGTCTATTTATTTATTTTTGTTATTAAACTAGCTTTTAAAACAGCAAAGCCTTTATCCTTATTTTTCCGCTGAACCTTTCTTATATTTATTATATTATCGGTGTGCCAAATTTCATTCAAATATGTTGAGCCGTTTTTTTATAGAATAAGGGTGACAAACGAGCTTCTTCAATGGGTATCTGTATTTGTCTTCTTTATTCTTAAATATTTTAAACCTTTATTAAGTACTTATATATCTAGTAGACAACAGGTAAGCTCTAGAAGGAATAATTAAGTTGCAACTCTAAATAATTATATAAAAGGAGAACGAGCTTACACCACTATGGTTGTCATCTGTCTTAAACATCAGAAGCTGATATCTATGTTTAAAAAAATCGTTATTGAGTGAGTTTACGATTTGACGGTTTATTTTTTTTTAAAGTCGACGAAGATGCTGATCAAATATACCGGAGCACTTCGTATAATATAAATTTAATGTAAAATTATTTGTTTAATAAATTATAATAAATTTATATAACAATTTATAATAAATTTTCAGAAAATTTAAAGATACCATGTCTAAATCTACTTTGTCGATAAAAAAAATCTTAAACAATAACTTTAATCGAACTTATATTTATATTGAATAGGTGATATCGAAGATGTTGAAGTATGCGAACTTAAGTTACCAATATATTAGTCAGTATATTTACTTCTGTTTAGTATAAGTTACTCTAATAATAACATATAAGTAAACTGGTTTTGTAAAAGTACACAATTCGTTTACTCATGGACTCCTTTTACCTATTTAGTTAATAGGCCTCAGTGTCCAGTTCATAACTTTCTTCCAGTCAGTATGTCGCTGCCGATGATCTTACTTGTGATATAATCTTTGTGAACTTCCATTATTCTTTTAAATAGATTAACATTACAAATTCGTAAATGTAAATGATATTTCTTCGCAGTACTTAGTAAATCTTAGTAAATCTCTATTTTTCATATATTATGTAGAAAATGTTTAAATGTTAAATAAAATGCATGTATCGTAAAAAAAAGGAGCTCCCGCGAGCAAAACTTTTCACGCCCTGAGTTGCCCCGACAAAGGTTGACTGGACTAGGGCCCATCAGTATTCGAATCGACGGGCAACAGAGAACGGGGCCCAACGGTCTATGGATAAATGTTCAAAAAACGGCTGACAAATAAGCAAGCACTTACCTATTTCAGGAGGTAGGGTTGACCACATGGTACCAGTCAGGTGATTAGTGAAGTGCATGTGAGTAGTGTATAGTAGTGTGTACAATGTGAGACCTGATTTAACCGTTGAAGTCGAACCGCAGATCCGCAGGTGCTGCGTTTCTCCAAATGTGCGATCCTCCAGTGATAGTTCACTTTATCTGAACTCAAGTCTGACGTCACTTCACGATTTTAGTCTATCAACTTTATTGTACATATAATTAACTTCAAAGTCAACCAATTCAACGTTCATCGAAATCAAACACGGCACACGGCACAACTAATGAACGGGCGATCAAAGTTCAATTTCCATTTTCACTTAGCAACAAAATTCCAACCACACGTAAGAACGCAATCTCTTCTCGAGTCACAAGGTTCAGCGTTTTAACCGACAAAGGAAAATGTCTCCGAACTATATTAAATGCCCCACAAGCAAAATTAATATTGTCAAATGCACTTCCAAATGCAATCACTATACAAATTGACGTAAATTACTTGCAAACAAAGGTAAGTTAATAATTCAAACTCAATACAAGCCGTCCGTCGCGCAACAATTATTAGCATTTAGTTATTTTAATCACTCAAAACTCAAATTAGGCCTCTTGTCACGTAACACTCAAAACAGACATTCAATTCGAGGCGATCCCAACCGGACCTAAATATTCTATAGCAAATTCAGACGACGGGTACAAAATGGACACCCGCCGCGCCCGACCCACTTACGGTCGCAAAAACACACTAGTCGACGATGCCGCGTCGTTCAATGCACTGGTAATTACTTCCGGCGCGCCCCACTACGCAACCAACTCCGCTCGCGCTAACGTCAAACCGGTACGAATGCACCGCGCCGAGCGCCCTCTGGCGTCAATTCTTGAAATTAGCGTTAGGCGCGAACACATAGTCTATCGGATAGTAAGTGGATGCTGTGGCCCATAGACATCTACATTTACTCTCAATTAAGAATCAAAATGCAGATGCGTTGTCTCCCCTGAGGGCTAAGATAGAATTTCATTAAAAAGGGTCTCCGGTACTCTATACTCACCATATGAAACATAGCAGCATTAAGCTGCTATTTTACGTTGATATTCTGTGAGAGCGCAGTCCTCCCTCGGTCGAGTCGACCCATTCGTGCTACAACCAAAATATAGCTGCAGCGTAGCTCTACCACGTATAAAGTATGCAGTTTTATATTTTATAACAGTGGTTTAGTTAAAGTTTTTGTTCAGTTTCTACGACAGCGAGAAGAGTCAGTTCGTGGTGTCGAAATTCCACGGCAAGGAGGAAGTGTTCGTGGACAGCGTGCGGCTGTGTGGCGACTTCTCGCCTCGCGCCCCGCGCAGAGCCTGCGTCGTGCTCAGGATACAGGTTTTATACCGCATTCAATTTAACTTATTTACCGTTCATTTCTTATATTTACGTGAACACTGTACATTAAATAAAACTATGTTTACGGATTTTATCACGTTTAAATTACTTTTTTTAATTTCCTACGTTTCGGGTGCTTTATCGCCACCCATTGTCGCCATTGGGCGGGGGGGGGGGGGGGGTTGAGATGTTTGACGTCCCGTTTTCATTGTTAACCCGGCTACCTTAATAATATTCAAAAAACTGAAAATTATAAAGAACCATGGGTTGCTGTAAAGCACCCGAAACGTCGGGAATTAAAAAAGTAAATTAATCTCAATAAAATCCGTGAACATCCCCTCCCCTATAGAGATATTTGCCTCCGAAGTTTTTTATTTTTAGTCATTATTAGGAAAACGCTGCTGTCCATTTCCTGGTTTGTTTTCCTGTGTCGCCTCTTACGACACCCACGGTACGATATGGGGTCGTGGATATTCTTACACTTACACTACACGGTAAGTAACAAAAGAAAGAAAAAAGTAACTTTCTATGAATATCAGTTACTGTGTTTTGATACTGGACAGCCGAATCTTCACCTGTATAATGTTTTACTATATTTACAGTAATACTTAACCTTAAATAAAACCAATATTACGAATTTCTTCACTCTCATGGGGACGGTGATCCGACACGAAATAATAATAAACAAAAATAAAATATTCAACAGCGCAACCCAACAGTGGGCGACAAATTCGCGTCACGCGCTGGACAAAAGGGCATCTGCTCCCAGAAGTGGGCCGCCGAGGACCTTCCCTTCACGGAGACCGGCCTTATCCCCGACATCCTGTTCAACCCGCACGGATTCCCATCGCGAATGACCATCGCCATGATGATCGAGTGCATGGCGGGGAAAGCGGCCAGCCTGCATGGACACGTGAGTTAGAAAATATTATTTATTTATTTAATCTTAACAACAAAAGTAACATTATATAAACAGGTAACTGCGGGTCCTAAACTAATTAAATAAAACCATCTCCGGCATCACTACCACTTACCATGAGGTGAAATACTAGTCAAGCACTGGCTAATATTAAAAAAAATACCAATAAGGCCATCCACAACTTTTTCATGTAAGGGTTAATGGTTCTTTATGCAGTTTTAGTTGTATTTCATATTAATTAGATAAGAAACTAATTAACCAAACTACGGATGTACCTAAAAATAAATTTATACACAGTTAAAAATATGCTAAAATTAAAGAGCAAACACTTGGCGTTGTTTTGTGTATTAGTCACTTAATCGCCAGACCGGCGCCGCCAAGTTTCGACCAACCGTCAGCGACCGTGCGGCTAATAAAATGTTATTTGACCACTTCCAACCTTGGCGATAAAAACACCTATCGTTTGCAAACTACCAGGTGCTATTTCAAACTACTACTCTAAAAACTGATAAACTTTTATTTAAAACTTACTTTTCAATTATCTGACATTGTTTAACAAAAAACTTCACCTCTGCCACAAGTAGCGACATCTGGTAAATTCAATACGATCGTATATAGGTGCACGACGCGAGCCCGTTCCGTTTCACGGAGGACGACACGGCCATCAACTACTTCGGGCGGCTGCTGGAGGCGGCCGGCTACAACTACTACGGCACCGAGCGCCTCTACAGCGGCGTGGACGGACGGGAAATGGACGCCGACATCTTCTTCGGCGTCATACACTACCAGCGGCTGCGGCACATGGTCTCCGACAAGTGGCAGGTTAGTACATCACCGATTAAAGGCCATATCACACCAACACTATCATTCTGTCTTTTTAAAAAGTTACCTCCACTCTAGGATTTTCTGCTGTATCCTGGGGGTAGTTAACATGCATACATTTCACAAGGACAAACATCCAAGGAAACGGAACAATTTAGGCCATACAAATACTTGTGTGTGGGATTCGAATTCCCCCACTGCGCCACGGTGCCATCCAATATCTAACATAAAGAATAGCAGAATAATGGTGCTGTGTTTCGTATGGTGAATGATTAGAATCGGGCACTTACTGGTACCACGGCATTCCTTCTTAGTCGTTAGTGCCCATGCTTATGTTTATCAAAAATAATAATTTATTTTATTTTATGATACAGATACATTTAGAGTAGACCAAAAGAAATTATAAAAATGAGATAACTACTTTTTATAGGGTATTACCTACAGGTCACACTGGGCATTGTTTAAACAGTTCATAAAGTTTCTTTTTTTTAAATACTAGTAATGCTACTAAACATCACTAATATTCCCTTTAACCACTTCTGGTAAGCTTAAAATGCTTGTGTTAAAAGTGGTTCACGACAGTAGTCGAATGGCGGATTCGAACCCACGACCTTTCGAGTCAGAACGTAGCCTAATGGCAAGGCGCGGACCGCGGTCCGCGCCTTGCCATTAGGCTACGTTCTGTAGAAATAAAACATCCGTTTTTATAAAAGAAATATTTATTGACATAACATAAGAAAGAAACGTTTTATTACCATAGGACATATACTAGAACTTTAGATACAAACGGATATTGTACTTGACTGAGCGCACATTTTTCGCGTACGTTGATGACAATATCTACATCGCCGCTACGAACAGACAACTTCTACATGGTCCCCGGCGATATCTGCAGACTTTACCTCACCAGGCACTCTAATCTGGACTGAATCACGCAATCACGGGTTAGAGGTTTTCTTGGTATAGCACCCTGACGTAATTTACATAAACCGCCTTTGGTCATGTGGCGGGTGGAAGGAAAAGGGGAGATCTCCTGCCAGGCAAGTCGTTCTGCCCGGGGAGCAGCCAACGTTCCGAGTGGTAGTTCGGAGCTATTCTATATATTATACTGTTTTAATGTCGGAACTTTGTTAGCGCGATTTAGGCTTCGATGTCGCTTGTGGCGCGACGACAGCGCCGCCACATCACCCCCCTGCTCAGACTGGAGGTCGATAGTGCAATTTGATTGCCGGTGCGTCCTTAATGCCGGTGACGAATGCGTGCTGTGTGCGTAAGGGCAAGTGACGTTGGTGCGAACGATACGCCGGTGTGTCATGCATGCCATACTACGCACTTGCAAGTGATGCCGATGAGAACGATGAGCCGGAGAAAGTGCCAGGTGGCTTGCAGAATGTGAAGACTGCAGACAATATCTGCTCGGAAGCGAATGAATGGGGTACTTGAGGATGATGACGAAGATTTGAAGTTGTAGTTTCCGAAGGTTGCTGGTTGCGTGTTAAGATCACGTCGGGGTCACCCACTGTGGCCGGTGGAAAGAAAAGGGGAGATCTCCTGCCGGGCAAGGTGTTCTGCCCGGGGAGCGGCCAACGCTCCAAGTGGTAGTTCGGAGCTATTCTATATATTATACTGTTTTAATTTTGGAACTTTGTTAGCGTGATTTAGGCTTCGATGTGTTTTCGCTTGTGGCGCGACGACAGCGCCGCCACAGTCATATACTTTTCTTTTTCATCGAAATGTACCGAGCATATCTTAGTGTGTTTAGTTGGCTTCCAATAGTTTTCTTTGCGATTAAATCTAATTATTTCAATCCATCGAGCAGCAAGCAGCAATAGTCGGATCAGACAGAAATCTAAAGACGAATAAATTTGAATTGAAAATAACATTCATGTTATTATTAATTTCACTTCATTAAAACAAAATAAATATTTTATGCTATTTTGGCTAAACGTTAACTATTATCTTTAACTTAATTGAATACACCACTGTTGGCTAGTGGCAAAACTATCGTATTTTTAGAAAATGATAAAAATATGTAAATCAGAATTAGAACAAAAAAAACTAACATAGAGTATGTTATTTGTTCAAAATCATATAAAAAAAAATAAAAACAACTGCACATCATCAAACAAAATAAAATCAACATATTTTTTCGTGGCAAGTGGGAACCCTGATAATATTTGGCAAATAAAACTACCTACTTAAATAAAGTTCATCTCCTTTACGATTTATTATTTTGTTAACTATCATACCAACTTCACGACATTACATTTAATTTTTGACAAACAATGCTGACAACAAAAGTGAATAATAATAGTGGTGTAAATATCTAACTTCAAATAATTATATCGATATAATGTTTATCGATATTTTTATAATAAGTTAGATCTCTATACTTAATGATTTATGAGGAATAAATAAAACATTTTAAAATTTTATACTATTAACCGAGGATTGAGTAAAAATGGTGATGAGGATAAGAAATCAGTGTATTTTACACACAGCAATTTGTGTTTTGTTTTTTTTTTTTTTTTTTGTAAAAAAATATGATCTAAAAACATTGCATGTGTAATTATATTATTAACTAGCTGTCACTCGCGACTTGGCCCGCGTGGAATTTACTACGATTTCATGGGTTTTAATTTATTTGCGCGGAATCCAAATTCTTTTTCTAAAATAAAAGTATCCTAAGTTACTCCTTATAACATCAGCTATCTGCCAGTGGAAGTCCCGTCAAAATTGGTCCAGCCGTTTCGGAGATTAGCCGGAACATTGTGATTTAAAAAAAAAGTTGTTATTAGTACCGTATATACTTTCACAAGGGGTCACTCGACGACTGACGCAGGTGTCGAGCTTATGAAATATAGCAGAGTTCACAAGATGCCTCAGGTATTTTTGTGATCTTTCCAAGGCTTTCGATTGTGTTCATCATAAGATATTAATCAGGAAACTACAACATTACGGTGTCAATAATATTGCGCTTAGACTTATTATTTCATATTTAAATAACAGAACTCAAAAAGTCGTGATCAATGGGCGTTCCTCAGGGCTCGATTCTTGGCCCATTCCTGTTCTTAGTCAATATTAATTACTTACCTTATCTTGTAGGGACAATCGCGATATAGTATTATTTGCTGATGATACCTCTTTAATTTTCAAACTCATACAACAGTCAATAACTTTGACAATGTAAATAATGCTCTATCGAAATTAGTACATTGGTTTAACGCGATTTATAACTTAAATTGTAATGAGTCCCTTAGAGAAAAAATTAAAGAAATAAACATATTAACTTTGGTATCGCAATATTTTTATGAAAATGTAATGTATGTACATTAAAACATAAATAGCTTTGATAAGAATAAAGATGTTCATATTTTAAACACTAGGAACAAACAAGCTTGTAATACCAGTTACTAGACTCCACGGAATTAGTAATTCATTTATGAGGCAATATATACGCTTTTACAACAAAATCACAGAAAATGTACAAAATTTATCAATAAATAAGTTTAAATGTTTTATTAAAGAAAAATTGTACAAAACGGGCTATTATAATATCAAAGAATACATAAGTGAAATAAACCCCTAGGAATGAGGTGATCCCCACCATGCTGGTTCTATTAAAACTAATTTAAAATTTGTACAAACAAACAAAAACAAAATTATATTAAAGTGAAATATTTTTTTTTAAAAGTCCCGCTAGGTTTCTTACTGGTTCTTCCTAGGACGTATTTCCCGAAACAGTGGTAAATAAAAAAATTACTTTCAAAGTATTATGTAATAATCTATATTGAATAAAAATTATTCTATTCTATTCATATGTATTTAGTATATTTTGTTACTATTATACAGATAAAATTCGCTTTCACAGATGACAAATTTCATATAGCACCATCTATAATTTTGATTTCAACATTACAAACAGACACTTCAATTTTATTTATTGTGTAGATTAATTAAGTTAAAAATAAATGACGACTCCTTAGTGCAGTGGCTTAGCGTTTGGCTGCGGCACTGCAATTAAATAATATTTAAGTGTAACAACAAATACTATATATAAATCGCTAGGCTTCACAGTTACTACTCACAAATATCGTTTACAAATAGTCGCTATCAAAATTAATGCTCATTATTGCTTATGTAGAAGAATCTATAAATAATAATATAAAAATTTAAGAAAACTTAGAGAATTATCCTGATTGTGGTGGTGATCCTGATCAGGATACTAGGAGAAAGTTATTTAATTTTGACATTATTTATCATCAGTTCTTGATACGAGTGCAAGTTTTCAATTTTTATCAATCTCATCACATTAAATCTCAAGTGCTCTTACCATCTGTATGCTGATGATCTGTAGTTATAAGTGGAACCCTCAAACATATCTAATGCTATCTCATTGATGACTTTAAATACATCTCCGAATGGTTCACTGTGTATGGCATAAACGTAAACCCATCTAAGTGCCAATAATCTTAGGTAGCCCACGATTATTATCGAAACTAGATATTACCACCCTACCATCAATTATGTTTAAAAATAATGTCATACCATTCTCTCCCCATCTAAAGAACCTTGGTCTATATGTTGATGGTTGCTTAACATAGAACAAACATATACAGGAGGTGAATCGCAAAACTACTGGAACTTTGCGATCTCTATATCGATTAAAAAATTTTCTTCCCACCAATACTAAAATTTTACTTGTCCAGTCACTTATCTTACCAATTATTGATTATGTCGATGTGTGTTGCTCAGACCTGTCTCAACATCATCTTAATAACTGTATCAGATACAGTTATGGTCTCCGTAAATACGACCATGTATCTTCTTTTCGTGTTCAGCTAAATTGGCTGCCTATCCGTCAGCACAGATATGTCAGAATACTCTACACCCTTTTCACAATTCTGAACGATCCATGTGCTTCCGAGTATCTGAAATCCAAATTTCAATACCTGGGAGATTCTCATAATCGTTTATTTATTTATTTATTCTTTATTGCA